CTGACTGTAAAGGAGCCAGGGAACCTGCTTGAGCCCCAAGAGTCTATGGTAGGAAGTACAGCTTAGAGTGTGACAGGGACAGACGAGAGTTCACTGGAGAGGGTGGATGCTGTGGTTAGAAAATCGAAATATTCACTGCAATTGCAGCATTTTTCCAATAAAACAGCCTCAGAGTTCATAATGTATCTTTCATAGAAACACATTTTAGAATTTCATAGAGATATTTTGCTAGAAATTGGAAGCTGTTTAAAAATGTATTTTCCAGATAGGATTTTGAATGTATTTTATGTTGAATTTTAGAAACTTTTGAAAATCATTTTAAAAAAATTTTACACAGATAAATGTTACAGTGTACGTCTCTGCAGAACAAACTTCATGAATTTTCATGTGAACTGTAATTGAATGTTTTGGATTCTTCCAAGATGAGTGAAATGCCTAGGTCTTGCCCCTGCCTCACTGTTAAAGGCAATGCCTCGTTGTCAATACCTCATCACAGCAAAACAAAACTTCTCTCTCTCTTGCAGTCCCACGGCAGCCTTCAAATGACTTGTTTGAAATATTTGAAATTGAAAGAGGAGTCAGTGCAGATGATGAAGCAAAGGATGATCCAGGTAGGTACCTGCATTCTTAGTATCGTTTTAATGACATTTGATTTTTTCCCTTTATTTCATGAAAATAACTTTGTAGATTGTTTGATTACAGCTGAGAAAATTATACATTTTTTTACAACTTGATTTCCTCTGTAGTTAAGTCAGTTGAGCAAAAACGGTGACTCATCACTATCTTCTTTTTTTTAAAAAAATATTAAAGCAGCATTTAAACTGAGGAGGAAATCATATTGTATAAGTGATGACATAACAAGGTCATCATTTGGCACCATTCATGTGTTCTGTTATTACAGCTGAGCACATGTGCACAATTGTGCTGAGAAAGGGTATTGTGATTTCCTTCTGACCTCACAGAGGTGTTCTGGCAGGATAGCTGAGTGTGGATAGGAGAGAGCACTTGCTGTACAGACAGCTCTGGTTCACAAATTCATTTTTGTTGTTAGCTGTCGGGTCAATGGTCTACTTATCTTTCTGGTCACTTCCTTGCAGGTGTTCTGATACACAGTTGTAATTTTGACCATGGGCTTTGTGGATGGATCCGGGAAAAAGACAGTGACCTGCACTGGGAACCAGTGAGGGATCCAGCAGGTAAGACCATTCATCTCACCCAACACATTTCAGTTGGAGCCCATCTGAGGCCCCCAGTTCTGCTGATCAGGTATACTGGGACACAGCTCTGTGTCGACTTAATAAGAGGGCAAAGGCAGCTTGTCCAGGATCCATCTTCCATTTTTTCAGGTGAAAACTGAATTTGTTAGCTATCAATTAGAATTATAAGATGACAAGCAGTTTATTAAAAGTCCAGCTAATTTCTTTCAAAAAATAAAAACTTTGGCGAACATAAAATGTGTAGATTCATCCTAACATGTAATCTTCAAAGTTATTTGCAGTGCCCCATTCCCAGGCGTCGAAGAAGTAATACAGTAGGACAGCAGCCATCACAGTAGCCCCTTGTTTTCTCGATGATGTCGTTTTTATTTTTTTAAGATGCAGTCAGTAGAAGGAGACAGCGGACATTTCTGTGAGATTGTGAATCTCTCTGAAAAAACCCAGTCTGATTTGGATGCTGGAGAAATTAGTTACAAATTACCACCACTTATTCCACAAGAGAATGTTATTAGAGAGGTAGATTTAAATATAGGCCCTTGGGAAATTAACAGACTTAAATTGCACACGTCCTATTAATCCAAGGTTTTCAGGGCTTTTAAGACATTTTATTGTCTTGTTTCAGGAAGCAAAGCTACATACTGCTGTTGGTTTGTTTTTTTGTTTTCCCACCCTTTCAGTAGTTAAATCTTTTATGGGTGAGGCCAACTTAATGGACAGCTGAGGAGTTTTGTTTCTTTCTTTTTTTTTTTTTTTGCCTTTTTAATACTCCTGATTCTAGACTCAAGGATGAAAGATACAAGACATGAAGAAGAAGTATGTTACTTGTTTCAAAAGCCTGGTTCCTAAATACCATCCCAGGCACAGAGACAGAGCACAGAGCACGTACAGTTAACCTGAGAGAGGATGTGCTCTAAGCCAGTTCTTCTCAACTTCCTGGGCGCGTACAGACCGGCCGGGGCCTTGTTGAAATGTACATTTTGATGTGTTTCTCACACGTTCCTGGGGGATAATTTTGGTATTAGTCCCTGATGCACATTTTGAGTAGCAAGGTATTAAAGGATTAGTGTAAAAATGTATTTATTAGATCCCCTAAGATTGAACTGTTAGAGATATTAAAAAATGAAAATGGGAGGTAAGCTTTTAAAAAATGAATATCCAATAAATTCAATGGGGTTTTAGATTTCTTTGAGCTAGAAAATGATTTTTCATGCTACACACACGCCAGTACAGTCCCTCTCATTCTCACTTTCATGTTTACCTTCTCACTTATTTAAAATTAACTCTGAGCAGGACATTATTATTAATGTCGCCGATATCTGTGAATAGTTGTTTAATAGCTACTATAGTTCTGACTCATTCATTATCTCAGTTTTATTTAATCTTCTTATTCACCCTGTGAAACAGGTAATACTGTTTTCATTTCACAAAGGCCCAGAACTTACATCAGCTTCCTGAGGCCGCAGAGCTAAAGAATGGACTTCGCGTCCAGGCCTCTCTGCACTGCCCGCGCAGCCACCTTGGCGGTTCAATACCCAGACAGCTGCAGCCTTATTCTGGGGTTTTCCGCACTCACCATCTGGCCTCCACGTCCGGGGTTGGTGTGCACGATCCGATTAGCAGATCTCAGGCCCGTGGAGTTGAGTGACGGCTGACCTGGAGCAGCTGACTAGGGGAGAGAGGTCCTGTAGCAAGCCTGTGTAATGCAGTGGGGAATAATGTTCATGGTCATAATTAATCATTCTTTCAGGTGAGGCACACCAGGGAGAGTGACTCATGCTAAGCTCAGAAGAATTCATTGCACTTCTATGTGGACAGTCTATGTAAAACAATTGATTTTTAGAATTTAAATACCATTTTTTAGTACTTTTCAACACTTTTTATTATTCATCACATACGTAAATGTTGAAATTTGTTGTGACCCCAAACCACTTGCCCTCTGATAGAAAAATGAGAAGAGGACTGGCAATTAGAATGGTTGACAAAAAAAGGTTTGAAATGGTCGTCTGGCTGTGATAATACAGAACAAGCTGAAAGGAAGTGGTGGCTGCTTGGGTGATAGGGCAGCTCCTGGTGATTGGCTCTGGCTCCCAGGATGCTCTTCTGGGGTTGCTCCAGGTCTTTACTAACAACTTGGATGAACTGGATATTGGAGGCATACTAACCAGTCTGCAGATGACTTAAGGCAGAGGAGACAGTTGCTGTGTGTGCTGATACAGCCAGCATCCAGAAGATTAGATCAGTAGGTCACACTTAGGCTGAAATCTAATGGGGATGAATACAAGGTGTAGCTCGTGGTCTAGAAACCACCTACACAACCGTGGGAGGTCAAAGATGTGATTCAGCAGTTAAGTGTGAAAGACTTCAGTGTTTTAGTGGGTCATGAAATCAACCCTGTGTTGTTGCAGCCAAAAAGTTGGCACATTTAAGTAGAAACAGATATGTTTTTCAAGAATGGAAAATACCCTTTGGGGTGTTCTTTACTGTCTGAGAAGAATAGAAGTAATTATAGGCACTAGGAAGAAAATGCTCTGGCTGGAGAGGTATCTCAAAGCCTGTAGAAAAACCAGTGAGGAGCCCAGCAGTTTCAACCTGGAGAAGAAATAATGGAGCAGGGCAGCTTTTCAGATGCATGGCCAACAAATCTATCTCAGTTGTTCCGTCACTACCAGGGGATGAGAAGTTGGATCAGTAGGTGAAAACTACAGGGGGATGGATTTTTGTCACTCTTAGAACGTCTCCATAGAGCTGTCTAGAGAGAAATCAGGCTGATAGAGGAGCACGGGGCTCGGTGGAGCCGTTTGACTGGACGACATGACAAGGTGCTGTTTTGAGAATTAGACAAAAGTCAGATTAAAAGATCTCTTACACTGGCTCTGGGAGCCTGTGATTCAGAATGAAATGTCCCAGGTAATCCGAGGAGATCAGGCAGCAGGGTTCTGGCTTAGAAAATGGGTGGAAAGACCAAATATGGCAGATAGTTGGAAGAAGGGATAGGAGGAGGGGCACAGCATAGCGTATGTCAAGGTGGAACTGCAGGTGGGCTTTTTAGAATATGTCAGGAAAGTCTAACCATATACAGATTCTAACGCATCCAGATGGGAAGTGCCGAGGAAGCTTACTTTTCCGTGCCTGTTTTTCTTCCAGGGAGTTCAGGTGGGGTTGTGTATGTGTATCACATATGAAGGCCAGGAAAGACTATAAGCCATGTAATAAATTATTTTTGCATATTATTCTAGTGACCAAACTAATTGCTTGTTTCTCTCTAGATTATACCATTTGTAAAGGAACGTATGTTTGGATTTCCACGATTCTGATTGATTTTTATGTTGTGCATTTCTTATCTAAGATCCAGATTTGCAAATATTCTTAAATGCTAATACCTCTAAGAAAACTCTCAGTTAAACAAACTTACAATTTTGAGAAGCAAGTGCATTTGCTCTCCCTCCTTCCTGGGGCTCGTTAGGTTTTGTTTATCGTCACATTCAGTCTTGAACTTAATTGTGAGAAGGTGAAATTAATCCATCCTCTAGGGAATGGAAAGTTGTGCTGCAGACAGATGTGGTGTGTGCTACAGGCTTACAACTGTGGCCCTGAACACACGCCCTTCTCCTGTAGCGTCGAGGCCAAAGTTGAGGCCCTTTTCCTGGAACACTAATCCCTGGGGATCAAGAGTTAAAGGCAACTGACTCAGCACTCTTTCTGCTACCCATAGCCACAAGCAATTCATTTCAATATAAGACTAGTATGCCAGCATGTACCTACAAGTATGTCCATTGCAGCATTAAAAAACATTACGTTCAAATACATGTAAATGGACAAATAAATCAACAGGGAAAATGAAAGCTCCCTCCCATCCCTGGCTCCCAGTCATCCTACCCGGATGCAGCCAGCTTCTTGGTTATCTTTCTGGAGTTAGATTTTTCCACACACCAGCCCCCACTTCAGTACCTTCTGTCACTTAACCACATTATCTTAAGAGTTAACGTGAGTGTGGACTCTGAAGCCAGGATGCCTGGGCTGAAACCCAGCACCACCACTGATGAGCTTTGATCTCAAGCAGGTTTACTTAAATGGGGTAATCAGTAGTGTCTACATATGTAAAGCATTTAAAGCAGTCCCGGGCCCAGAGTTACCATCAGAATAGTATTAGTTATTGTGGTTGAAGACTGCCGTGTATCAGTATGCACAGAATACCCTCATTCTTACTAATGACAGTTAGTTACTCCCTCACTCCTTCCATGTGTTTAACCTGCCGTCCACTGAGGAACATTTCAGTTGTTTCCAGTCTTCTGGTAGTTCAGACAATGCTATAGTAAGTAACTTTGTACAGATGTCATTTCATGTATGTTTGAATGTATCTTTAGGATAAATTTCTACATGTAAATTTTCTGGGTCAAAGGGAATTTGCAGTTTGAATTTGGGTAGATTTTACTAAAATGCCCTTCAAAAGGAGTGAAGCAGTTTATGCTCACACCAACAATATTTAGAACCATCTCTAACACAGATCTTTTTTTTTTTCATCTTTGTCAAGCTTATAGGTGACAAGGCATCTCAGTTTTAATTTGCATTTCTTTCGGTGAGAAAAGTTAACCATCTTTTCATTTATTTAAGTCTTTATTTTCCTGTACATTTATTTAAGTCTTTATTTTCCTGTGATGCCCTTTATTTTTCCTTTGTGTTCTTATTCTTGATTTGTAAAAGGTCCTTATGTAAAAAAGAAACTCAGCCTTTTTTTATGTTGCCGATATTTAATTTTTTGCTTATCTTAATATTTTGTGATATTTTTATCTTAAGATGAACATTTAGAAGCAACTTAAATGTTCTTCAGTAAGAAATTGGCCAAATTATTGATACACTTGCATCTATGAAAAATATTTGTTGACATAAAAATGGCTGTAATATAACTTGCTTTTTTCATTGAATATAAAAGCTGCAAAAACGTTCATATTCATGTGCATTTGTGTGCATGTATTTACATAGGAATATAAGAAAAGTCCAGAAGTCAAAATGTTAGTATCTCTCTTCGGGTTTAGCATTATGTTTAAATTTTCTTTATGCTCTTATAGATACATTTTCTGCAATAGGTATCCACTGCTTCTTTTATTAGAAAAAAATGAAGCTATTTGTATTTTAGGGATAAATCTCAGCAAACCATAATTATCTTAGTTCTACCTGGATGGGTTTCTCAGCTAGGCAAAAAATATTTATACAAATAAAACCACTTCCTCTCACTTTTTGACCATACAGGTAATAGGAAAAGTAATGGATGGTAATATTTGTAAATTGAAATTGTAAAGGCATGAACAAGTATAGAATTAAAAATAAGGAAATTAAAATTTTATCATCTATGTTTCTGGCAGGTTTGCAGCATTTATTATTTACCTAAACTGCCCCCCCAAAGCTTTAATATTATGATGCTTTAAACTGAAACCATGAAAATATTTCATGTAATTTTATATTTAACCAGTATTTTGGAATCAGAAGTGAAATTTTTCTTTAGTAGGTGATTTGTTTGGAGTGGTAGATCAATTTTTCGCTTAGCTACTGTTCCCACTTTGTAATATTTCCATTTATTAAAAATGGAAGGAGTTCTTCATGGTAAAACAACAAAAAACTTGATGGCCACAGAGTAGCTCTACAGGGGAAAAATAATTGTAGCCTCATTTATAGAATTTTAAATATCTACACAAAAGAGTCTGTTGACTCCTTTATTAGGATGCCTTGGTTTTTGTTAGGTTGTCTTGTTTGCAAGCAGCATCTGGCATAGTGATGTAAGTATACATTCCATGGGGACTTAAGGTAATCCTTGTTTCCTTAAAACTTGCAGGTTAACTATAATGGCCTTATATCTTAGTCTTAACCAAAATACCTATGATGATTCAAAAGCTGACTTGTGGGAAGACATTTAAAAGCCATGTAAATATTTTGGCTCAAAATATCCTTTGGATTAATATGGGGAACACGGGGGCAGAAGGAATGTTAAAAAAAATGTGTTTTTGATGAATGAAGTACATGACTCAGGGAACTATTTCTCTGTAGTTTTTGTTGTATTCTTGGAACATCATTTATTCAACAAATGGCATTAAACTCCTACCATACACTAGGATGTAATGGGGTGGTTTGGAGGAAACTTTGGTTCTGATATCAAAGAGTTGACAGTCTTCTGGGGGAGAAACGTGTAAACCAGTGATTCTTGTGCTGAATAGGGGTTCAGGCAGTTCTGAACTCAAATTGTTACTCTGCCACTTACTGGCCGGCTGACAGACACCTTGGGTGACTTCACCTCTCAAAGCCTTAGTCTTGTTTTGCAGATGCAGAAGCTAACAAGTGTTCACTTCAAAGGCTTGTCAGCAGGGCTAAATGAGATGCTCCCCGCAGAGCACTCGCATAGAACCTGGTGCATCACAGATACACACACCATCTGACTGGTCCTTTGAAGACTCAGAGGGGACTTGGTAGAAGAGAAGTCACTTGAAGAGTAGGACATCCCAAACCTTGCCTTGTCCAGTACAGATTAAGCACAAGAAATGATGGTTTATCTTTCCAATGAAAAATAAGCAGGTTTTCTACCAAAACAGATACACGTGTTGAGCATTCCAACCACATTTTCCTTTAGCTAAGTCAGTGTTGAAACTGTGTTTTTCAGTTGGCTGCAATAAAACAGGCTGAGGGGCACAGCCTTTGTACGTGAATTGAGCTTCAAAATACAACTTGCCACTTGCCCTCTCCTGAGAAGCAGTACCGCCCACTTCACTGCTGCTCAAACTTTTTTCCCCCTTAACTGCAGTTCCTCTAACAGTTGAGGGAAGCAAGTCTATAGCCCTAGGAATCTAAGGCATTATCAAAGTGACTTTCCCAAAGGGACAGTTTTTATTAACTTTTTGTGTTCATGTGTATGTAGTAGAAAACTGATGTATTCCTTTCATTATATTGTTATGGATTTGTTTTTATATAAAACGTTTTAAACTACTTTCAAAGCAAATGGATGCTGCAGGGAAGATGTGATGGGTTTCCAGAACATTTCTGCATCTTGGAGTTAGGTGTAAGAAGCACAGCCAACTTATTTTTAAAGGACTCGTTTCTCTTTAGAGATTTTTTTTTTAAGTGGGGAGGGGAGAGAATAAACAGGTCTAGTGCCTCCTTTAAATCATCATCTGCCCTACTGTCTGGAGGTAGGAAATCTACCTAGAAACGTCTGCCTGGCAACTTAAGCCAACCACCCTACCAGCCAGCCAGCGCGACAGGGCAATCACAGATGCCTGAGGATCCAGAGGCAGCGACTGTGTGCACGCCTGGGTGTGTCTGATCATATGTGGCTGGTAACAGGCATAGTGTTAGGACCGCTCATCATTGTGTGTCCTTGGCAGAATCTGTATTCCCCCCGAGCAAAGGGAGTGAGTGTTTTCTGTAAATATAAAACCATAGAATTTAAGACAGCCATAGATATAAGTCCTGTGTTTCTCCCTCAAATATCTGGAATTCTTTACAAACGGCCGGCACAGTCTGTGGAAACAGGAGGAGGAGAAGCCGCGGCCGGCCGGCCGGCGGGGCCGGGGCCGCGGGGCTCGCCCACACAGGCCCTGCTCTTCCCCCTGCAGGTGGACAGTATCTGACAGTCTCGGCAGCCAAGGGCCCCGCGGGGAAAGCCGCGCGCTTGGTGCTCCCTCTCAGCCACCGCCTGCACTCAGGGGACCTGTGCCTGTCGTTCAGGCACAAGGTGGCGGGGCTGCGCTCCGGCACGCTCCAGGTGTTTGTGCGGAAACACGGGGCCCACGGAGCAGCCCTGTGGGGAAGAAATGGTGGCCATGGCTGGAGGCAAACGCACATCACCTTGCGAGGGGCAGACGTCAAGAGCGTAAGTAGACCCGCCGAGGAGGCAGGACCTGGGAGGTTTCCTTTCCGAGGACGGCTCTGGGGTCGGCGTCGGAAGTCTTTGCTCTCCTTTCGTTCAGGCCCAAAGCTCGGCTCGTGCTTTTTCTGGGCGTGGGGACCCTGTGCGTTGCCTCTTTCTGTAATCCCTTTGCTCCTTCTTCCGTTCTCCATCGCAACCACGACCACCTCCGCTCTCCCCACCCTGGTGAAAATCCCCTCTTTTTAATGACAAATTTTAGCGGTTGAAAAGGTGGAAAGTTAATCAGAAGAAACGTCGAAGGGCGAGGGTGGGCTTAACTACATGCTTTTCCTTAAACTGCTTATACTTCAAACTTTGACCACCATGAGTTACCCTCAAGTGTTTTTTCTTTCTTTTCTGAAATGTTTCTTTAAACTTTTTTTTTCCCCCTTTGCCTCAGAGATCATAGTTAAGCAGCCTTGGGTGGGAACCAGAACAGTATGTTTGGAAAATATTATTCTATTCAGGACAGGATGTGGGGAAAACTTTGATTGAATATATAAACTTTATCTTAACTAAATAAGTCATAGGTAGAAGTAAAATGATCTATAACAACCCACTGAAGTAGTGAATTTTTTGGAAAAACTGTTTTTATGTCAATACTTACAAAACTGGTATAGGTATAGGTAAAAGAAAGGTTAGACTCCATGAAGACAGCTTTTATCAGAGTCTTGGATTTTGTTTTACTGTTTTTCTCTTAAAATTTTTCTTAATATTTACATCATTTGGAGAAACAAAACATTGTTTCACAGCATAACATAGGTTTCTGTTCTCAAAGGAGCAAGGATGCTCTACAGAAGATAAAATACAAGAAAGTTTTTGCTCTTTACATAAGTGAAACAAATGGAACTGGGGTGTTTGGTTCTATTCCATTTTAGGCATCAAAGCTAAATTAAATTAACCCGGAGGAGGGACTAGAAAACCTCTAAGAGGCTGCATGATTATGATCTTTCAGATCTTTGGCTCCTAATTTCTTGCCTTTTATGCCCCATCACACTCTTCTATCCTTGGAAAATCTTTGACAGAAGTGTCCAGTTCCTAATCATTCCTAAATGGAGGCAGTCTATCATTTAGAATAGCTTTTTAAAGTGTAACTGATTTTGGGTAATGTGGTCCAGTTAACAATTTACTGATGACTAAAATTTCTACCAAAAGGCAAGCCTCAGGTGACACTGGCACCTCTGTTCTAGTCTTTCCTTCTGTTAAGTAAGTTTACTGTTCAGTTTTGGGGAAAGTTTGCGTTTGTTTTGCTAAATGAGTGGGCATTGGGAAGGGGTAGAGGAGGCTTGACTGGTGTGTGCATTCTCTCCCTAGGTCATCTTCAAAGGTGAAAAAAGGCGTGGTCACACGGGGGAGATTGGATTGGATGATGTGAGCTTGAAAAAAGGCCAGTGCTCTGAAGAACGCGAGCAACTCCAGAACTAGCCATGAACCCCCATGTTGCTCCCTCTTCTTTTTCCAATCTTCACCACCTGTCCTCTCCTCCCTCTTATCAGGCCTAGAAGAGTGGGTCAGGAGAAAGTCTGCTTGGTGACCCACGTCTTGCTGGCCTGCTTTTGTGCAATCCCAATGAACAGTGACACCTCCCTTGAAATACAGGGGGTATCTGTAGAAGCATCCAAAGCCATCTTTGGGTGTTACCTTGCAGCCGATGTCTCTTTTAAGAAGGCCTTCGACAAGTGTGACCTATATACCCCCTTCATCCTAGTTACAAGGTGTTGTTCCTTGCAGCAAATTATGGGTGAAGTTTTCAAAAGAAATCTGTGCAAATGGCCATTCTGTTATCTGTTCAGTGTTGTACCACGAGTAGTACTGACTTCTGCTAAGATACGTTGTACAATGTGCTTGTGAAATTGGTTTCTCCTCTCCACTTACTAGTTGTGGTCTGGCCTGAACTCTGACTTATACTGCCATTCATTTTATAAACGCAGGGTGTATAACATATCAAGATGCATTTATTCTTGTTATCTGTATTTTTCTTTTTAAAGACGATTATGTAGAGTGGGCACGTAATCTCTTGTTAGTAGTATTGTGTTTTGTGTAAACGTGCTATTGATACTAAGTAGTGACGTGTTCCCAATATTTACAGACTCTAGTTGCAAGGGAAAGGCAGCTTGTGATCTCTTGAGTTAAAAAATGCACGGTGGAATGTCATTTAGTTCCATGACCTTATATTGGCAGCCAGAGAAAATTGGAAGAGGTGTCAGTCTGTGGTAGTGAGGGGATGAATTTCTTAATGGCCTTGAGTTTGATCACAACAAAGGACAGTGACCATTCAGGTTGACAGGAAACTGCAGTTAACCCATAAAACCGTCACAGTTTCAGGCTCCACTTTAAAACCAACAGCTTTTACCATAACAATAATGGCCCTTTCTGGTGATCTTAAGAAGCTTTATGAAAGTTCTGGTTGTTTCAGAAAAAAGGTTCTGTTTATGGAAGCAGGGTGAGGGAAAGCATGGGGGGAAGCTCTGTTGAAACATTCTCCCACTCATTTTTAAATCAGTTTAAATTTAGGGGGGCCTAGATCATAACTTATGTGCTGCTGTGTCAGGATGGGATGGGAAGCAAGTCCCATGCTTTGAGGCACTGGATGTGTTGGAATGGGATTCACACACACACTCAAGCAACAGAACAAGATTGGAATTCTATGATCTGTGAACCCCCAACTCTGTTTCCTCCCTGTAAATTTTACCTTTATATTGAAAATATACATAACTTTTAAAAGGCAACTTATTCCTGAGGCTTTTCATTATTTCTGATTAAGTAATCAAAATATTTTCTGCTGTTTTTGCCAGGAATCACAAAGATGATTAAAGGGTTGGAAAAAGAGATCTATGATGAAAAATTAAAGGAACTGGGATTATTCAGCGTGGAGAAGAGAAGACTGAGGGGCAAACCATTGCTGGTTTTCAAGTATATGAAGGGTTGGTACAGAGAGGACGGTGACCAGCTGTCCTCCACATGCACTCAGAACAGAACAAGAGGAAGCAGGCTTAGGCTGGAGTGTGAGGGGCCATTTCCTGGCGGGGACAGTTGTTAATTAGAAACCTTTGTTTAAACCAAAAAAGTGTGAATTTTTTGAGGCTTTTAAAAAATTAGATAAGTTTTTTTTTTTTTCTATTTAAGGTGGTTAAAGATGTTCTTCCCTCAAGGCAGAGTAACAATAACAGAATCTCCCTAAAGATGTTTTAATCGTATTACTATACAGTGAAAATCTCCAGAACTAACTAACTTGAACTAGGCTAAGGTCTAATTTAGGTATTTTTTTCTTGGCCTCCTAATGGAAAGGAATCAAAAAGGGGAAAAAGCCCACCAACTGCTGAGCTCACTAAATGTCTCTCCCTTTATGTCAAACCTAGCAGCATTAAAACGAAACAAAAGCGAAAAAAACAATTTTTTAAATCTATTTATTCCAAAAGAGAGTCTGATGGACAGACCTTTTAGTATCTCAATCATGTTCTAATGTGGTGGTATATATTTCTTTTTTCTTACTAAAGGTATTGCCCTTTCCCTTGCTTAATGGATATTACAAATTTTTAAAGAGACCATAGCAAAGAAAGCAACTTAGAGAGATTTTATCTGGTGCATTCTCTCTGCAAGGTGTGTGACAACCTAACAAGGCTACTGATAGAGTGCCATGCCCAACACCACCGCCAGGACCTTTCCTTCACCTGATGGTATAAGTTTCTCTTGTCAGTTGGAACCTCCCAAGTTCCACAAAATGGTAATGTTTTGGAACAATCAGTACAGTAGAATGTCTTTCATCATTTAACTTGGTGGAGGCAAGGCCAGAGGGGGACTATAAATCAGTAAGCCTTTGAGTCAAAGCCAGAAAATATGGCTTTAGATCCATTTTTAATGATTCATTTCCTTTTTGGTCACGTAACTATACAACTGAAGATGAAAGGGGAGAATAGAAAATTTCACTTTTAGGTGCCAATAATACATTGCACTACACTGATGGAAGAAGTTATCCAAAGTACTGTATAACATCTTGTTTATTATTTAATGTTTTCTAAAGTGAAAAATGTTTGTGGTTTTCCAGACAGCCAAATAAAAATAATTCTTTGTAAATAAAAACACTGTTAATAATACCAGTTGTCTATTTCTTATTTTGAGTTTTTGGGTTTTTTTTTTTTAACTAGGAGAAGAATTATCAGGGTAATTTGATTTTTCATAAAAGCCATCTATAGTAGAACCTCTTTACTACTTGGAAGATTGGGGACAAAGATATTGCCCATATTATTATGCTTTCTGGGTTATAAAATATGAGACACTTTTTGTTCACGTGCACAAGAGATTAAAGGATCACTGTAACATAACTAAAGCAATTTGCTAAGGTATGACTTCTTGTATCTCATTTAGTTGTAAACATTTGCCTCAAACCCTTTTCGGTAAAGGCAGGATAAGCTATAAGTAAAGATATAAATATATATGAATTAGAAGCACAAAGTCTTTTTTACTAGTGCTGATAATGTTAATTTATGACATTTTACTCATAATCTTTCCTGATGGAGAAAATAACTATAAGGAAATAAAACTAACGGTATCATTCAACATCAAAAATTAGTCCTTAGTAGAGACTATGCTTAATGGCTTCTTTCTGATATTCAGGGAACCCTTAGTGGCTAGGAGACTCAAGTTTTGGATACATGCTTTAAGCAAAAGGTAAAGAAAAACTGTAGTTTCCTTCTCTCAGAGTTGTTTCTTTATCTCAGAGATCCTTCCTAATTATCCCCAGGAGACCTGAGAAAGCTGAGGTTTTCCAGAAGTTAAACCTCTTGTGAAACTGAGGTTGGAGGTGGGAGGAAGCAGTTCAGTAAGAGGTTCCAGACTCCAGTTCATTGACTTACTTGATAGATTTTACAGCACTTACTACAGGCATGGCTCTTGGGTACAACAGTAAGCACACTCCCCTTTGTGAGGTTTTAAACTAGAGAAGAAGGTGGCTATTTATCAAAATCATACAAATAAATGCAAAATTGCTGTTCTGACAAGTGGTATACCGTTAAGGCTCTGAAAGCATGGTGGGTTCCAGGACTTTTGGCCCACTGCTTTTCAAACTCAAATGTGCATGTGGGTGGGAATCACCTGGAGATGTTAAAATTCAGCTTCTGATTCAGCGGATCTGGAGTAGGGCTTGAGAGTCCGCATTTCTAACCAGCTCCCAGGTGGTGCCTGTGCTGTTGGTGTTGGGGCCCAATTTGTATTACAAACCCTTAGTGATAATACACGGAGGGGACTGGGGCCTTCATCTCTGTTAACGTTCGCTGTTGGAAGGCCTAAAGGTACATGGTTGCAAGATCTACATTCACAAATATTCACTAAGTTTTGGTGCATTTTTTCCTTAAAAAAAATTTTGGCTCAACATGCAGACTATTAATAGACAAATATTAGTTTAAAAGAACAGAAATTCTGGTTATAATAGTAGGATTGCAAAAATGAAAAACTGACCAAGGTATTTAGCAGCAGATTTGAGCTGCCAGGAGAAAGAATCAGTGTGCTTGAAGATAGGTCAGTTGAGATTATCCAATTTGAGGAACAGAAAGATAAACTTTAAGGATAAACAACTAGACCTGCAGTCAATAAGGAAATCAAAGACTTGAAAAATCCTATAAACCAACCAGACCTAACATCTATATAACACTCCACTGAACACAAGACTATACATTTTTCTCAAATGCACAGAGATGCTGACAGACCATAAATTAGGCCATATAACATTACCTCCAATTTAAAAGGATTGAAATTATACTAAATATGTTCTTCTACCACATTGGATGAAATTAGAAGTCAATAATGGAAATTTGAGAAATTTGTGGAAATTAAACAACAGGCTTCTAACCAATAACTGAAAGAAGAACTCCCAAGGAAATTAACAAATATTTTGAGATTAATAAAAATGAAAACACAACAGGCCCAAACTTACGGGATACAGCTAAAGCATTGCTTATAAGGAAATTTGTATTTGTTAAGTGCCTATATTAAAAAAGAAGATCTCAAGTCAATAATCTAAACTTCAACCTTATAAAATTAGAACAAATTAAATCACAGTAAGCAAAATCACAGCAGAAGGAATGAAATGAAGATGAGAGTAGGAAAAAATGAAATACCTATATAGAAAAAAATCAGTGAAAATAAAAGCTGGTTCTTTGGAAAGATTAACGAAATGTATGAACATTTAGCTAGACTGAAAAAGGAAGAAAGACGGTAAGATTAGGAATGAAAGAGGGGACATCACTGACCTTACAGGAATACAAAGGATTATAAGGGAATACTATAAACAACCTAATGTCAACAAAATAAGATGACTTAGATGACAAGGACAGAGTCTTAGATACAAGCTATTGAATCTGAATCAGGAAGAAATAGAAACCTGAATAGACCAATTGGAAGTAAATAGATTGAGCTAATAAAAACATTCCACACT